TATGTGTGTCATTTCTTAAAAGATTGACCCTCTGAGGAAAATCAGTACTGTGTTTCCTTTTAGATTGATGTTGGTTAGATTTCTGCTGATTTCCTGGTCAGCAAATCCATACTAGAGGTAATATAAAAGAAGTACCTGAAATAAATTTAGCATTTCTCTTGGAATAAACTTACTATACCAGTTCATTTCCCTATATACTGTTCAAGTTGTTGCTCTGCAAGAGCACTGACAGTCTCATATGCAAAGATGTAGAAAGAAACTCAGTCCAAGATGATTGATCCAGACTCTGGGCTACAAAACTGAGAGGAAAATAGTTTATAAGTCATGATGTAAGTCAGCATTCTTAGTTCTGTGGGGTAAACCTGGAATACAAAGAATCTCAAGTCTTCTTCATTCTTCTCTATAAAAGAATTTCCTGAATGGGAAATAGTACAGTCTTGGACTGCAGTTACAGTATTGTGGAATTGTTAAGTTTTTTATTCACTTAAAACTCAAAACTGAAAACATATTAATATAATATTATTCTTTCTCCAATTTTCTAGAAAATATCAGAAATTAATGAAGTGAATAACCTACTGATTCATCAGCTGGAAAAATGTAACAGATTGCTAACATTAAGCCAATCAAAGGAAGAATCAGTAAAAGAGGGTAAGTTATTTTGTTAGAAAGGTATGATTTTTGTATATATTCAAGAAGTTCTGAGAGGTATTTCCATTATTTTCCACCATAAAAAATAACCTGTCAAGGATCTAGGAAACTGTGGGAAAAGCAGTAATGCCTAATTTTGAATCATGTAATGAAATCCATCTCATAGTAAATATTCATATCCATATTAATTTTATGAGGATTTAGACTGTTCAGTGGATGCTAATAAAATTTAATTTACCATTTATAGATGAAAGTTATAAGTCTATAATCATAATTAAAAAGTTATGAAACAAAGGAGGAAATACAGAGAAAACTATAAAATTAAGATTTGTTTTATTCTAGAACTGGTGTTAGATGAGTATTTGAAATGAGAAACAGTATCTAGTGCTTAGCATGGATTTGTGGTTGCTTATTCTTTTGTAGTTTGTAAAGTAGCTGAAAGGTGCATCTTTTTGTAGGACTTCCATCTCTGAGAAGTCAGCCTGCTGAAAGTTAGGAAGTGGGGTAGGACCAACATTAGTTTCACACAGGAGGGAGATTGCCAGTGGGGTTTCATTTATATTCACTTAGACTTGGATAATTTAGCATAATCAGAAACTGAGTGTTGAAATTGAGCTATTGACTGAGTGAAGTTTGCTTATGATGATAATCATTTGGTGTATCTTCAGATACACCAAAAAAAATCATGATACAGAATGACAGGAGTGATGAAGATCAGTAGCAGCGTAAATGGGAGGCATTTTGTATAAACAATGGTTGATGTTAGGTGGCTGCTTTTCAGGAAAGAGATCTTGGTATCCTCTAAGCAGTTCTCTTAAAATATTTGTATTCTCTTGAAATATTAGTAGACAAAGAATCAAACACAGTGGTAGCATAATTACGGAAGAAAAAAAGAGAAATAAGCATTGTGACTCTGTAAAGTCTGTGATTTTTGTTTGATGTTCTGGTCCACACATCTCAAAACAGACATAGAAGAGCTAGAAAAGGTAACAGAGAAGGAGGCAAGGCTTGGTATTGCTAGTAAGGAGCAAGGTATAAGGAATCAGGAACCACTCCTGTAACAAAGACTATGGACGTAGGGGGCTTAACCATGCAAGGCTCACTCCCACTGTTCCCATGCAGGGCTGGCCCAGCAAGAACTGCCACGGTCAGCCGAAAGTCTACATTGCCAAACAAGTCTGTACTGATGGGAGTGACTCAGGAGGCTGAGTCAGAATGGAGTTCAGAAATGGTAACAAAGGCCAGACATGGCCCAAGGATCTCCACTTGGTTCCAAGTGATGAGGCAGGTCTGATATCAAGCCAGAAAATCACTCCCTAGGTCATGACCAGGATCTAGTGTGTGGCTGTCACAAAACTGCAGCATAGACCAAGGGCTAAAGCCTGAGTTTGCAAGCAGCTCCCTTACCATGGGAAAGAGGGACAGCTATTTCTGAATCTTCTGCCAGCTTTTCTTCAATTACATCATCTACACTCTTTCTAAGATGGCCTTGTGCCCAGCCAAACCCCCCAGAAAAGTGCGTGGGGAAAGATGCACATGGGGCTTTCACAGCTTCGCTCACAATTTTAGAACACCTGAAGGAATACTTCAGTTGACTGGGAACTTTTCAGCCAAGACAAAGAATAGAGATGATGTGACTCATAGCTGTAAAATTGTGAATGAAATAGAGAAAGTGATTACAGAATAAAATATTCATTGTCTAATGTAATAAAAATCCATATGGAAATAAAGCATGTTTATTGATTTAAAGCTAACAAAAGGAGGAACTTTTCCACACATTACAAAATAAAGTTAAATCAATTCCACAGAAGCCTGTGGATAACAGAAGTATACATTAATCCAAAAAGGCTGGGAAAAAAATCACAGAAAACAGCAAATTTTTGAAACACAAAGACAGTATCTCTCACTGTCCCCCATCATTCTGTGTTTGGGAAGTTGAAAGGATGTACTAATGATAGCATTTATCTAGCTTTTTTTCATCTTTCCTGAATAATTTTGTAGTGTGTATTGTGAAGGTGGCATAGTGAGCTGGATGGAACTTTGGTTTGAGTCAGAAACACTTGTTTCCTTATTAAGCAGAGAAGTCAGAAAGTGCTGTACAGTCACTCCGAAACAGAAGAGTCTTCTTTATTGATAAAACCAGAAAGGAGTGGGTTTACATAAAACAGTTTGTAAAAAAGGAAGGGAAAAGATGAGCAAAACCAAGAAATAGTTCTTACCATAGAATCTATGGTATAAAAGCTAGCAGAGAAAGTAAGAGAGAAAACTCAGGAGACCAGAGCATCTGGGATGATTCCAAGAAGAGAGAGGAACAGACTGAAAACAGATCAAAGTCAGAAGAGAGATCTGAGCTTTGTAAACAGTATTGCCTCATTTTCATGAGATAAGAGAGAAATTATTTGATGAGATAGTTATGCTGATATAACTGAAGAGAACAGCCTCTGGAGCTTCTTTTGAAACACAGGATGGAGAAAGAAGTGTGGGTGGTGGAAGTCCAAGTGAAAATACCAGAGCAATCAGCCTGAAATATGAACTAATGTTTCAGCAACAGAGATAGTCAGGAAAAAACAAATCTCAACAATATTGAAGTCACAGGGATAGTGCAGATATAAATAGGAGGCAGAATTTCTGGAAGACAAGTGTCCTGGTCAATGATTAAGAGTTATTGCAGAGATATTAGTGACATTGACAAAAACAAGTGAAAAACAGGAACTTGGAACAATGCAAGACATCCAAGAGGTGATTCTGAAAGCTATTTGATGATAATGAAGTAAAATACTAATAAAATGCCAAGGGGACACAATGTATTTAGAAATAAAAGACAATTATCATGGCTGCTCTGTTAAGCCAGAGCAGGGAGGTTGGGCCAGATGACCCAGTAAGGGCCCATTCTCTGATTCTGTACTTACGAGTAAGGTAAACTATTAAATTGATGCACTTAACAAGAAGGTAAACCTATCAAATACCAGAGCATGAAATGCTTCTAAGTTTATGGTTTTGAACTGTATTCATTATTGGTGCTCATAAATCGGAACTTAAAAAAAAACATCTTGGGCAGAAAATTGGCATAATCAGTGGCAGAGACTGTCACAGGAACCTTCAGGTAAACAGTTAACATGTTACTGGAGATGAGCAGAGCCTGTGAAAAGTGGTGGTGATATTAGGAGTATTTCAAAATTATGTGAAAGGCTGATGTAGTGATTATAAATTAGTAAGTCTATAATTTCTAAATCATTTTTCTTCTTCCTTTTGCAATTGATAGAAATAGTCTTTGCACCTTTATTAAACTGACCTTCCACAATGACCCTTCAAAAGAAGTAATAGCATATGTGGTATTCAGAATCAGAGTACTAAAACTTTTGCATCTAATAGTTCAATTTTTATAAAAACCTTTTGGAAGGTCAAAGCACTCTGGGATTAAAAGAGATGCTAGACCCTCTTTAGTACTGATGAGCTTATAGAGGGGTCCTGTGCAGCTCTGGAGAGGCACAAGGGACCAAATACAGCATTGATTTCAATTGACTGATTGATTCAATCTTTACTCTGGCAGTCGTTATCTGAACAGACTGTAGTTGTGAGAAGGGCTTTTATAGAGTCATAATGCCAGTTGTGGCTTGGAAAAAGTTTTCTCCCAGCCTTATGTCCCAAGCTGTTTCCCAGAACCCAAGTCAGCCACAATTCCTGAAGTATCTTTTGAAGGGTTGGTCCAATTACAGAAGAGGAACAGGAAGAAAGAGTGCTGTGGAAGGAAACGCTGTGAAGGGTTTGTGGCTACTAGTGGTAGTGGGGTGGAGGACATAGAATTTTATCCTGACTGAAGAACATTTTGCTTTAAGGGGAAAAAAAAAAAAGGCATTTCACACCCCCAAAAAATTTCCAGGTGAGGACCTGAGAACTCCTTGATATCCTGGTCAAAAGTCTTTCCTAGAATTGTTTAAGGTAGAAAAAGATTGGAAATTCTGAAGAAATGCAAAGAAAGAAAGAGGACATCTAAATATTGAGGTAGCGGGTAGTGAAACACTTATATCCAAGATAAGGTGGATAGCTTGGACAATGTATATACTCTCTGAGAGGTCATAAATTAACTTTATTTTCTCTTGATACATTCTTTGCTAAAAAAAGATGAGATTCTAAATAACAATTTTTGTTTTGTGTACATAATTGCAGATCCATTTTAGACAGATACAAGTCTGTCATCTTTGTTTTCTACTCCTAAACCTTTTCTATGGCAGCTAAATAGACTCTTGTGATGCAACAGTTCTGAATTAAATTCTAATATAGTTTTCTGAAAGAAAGCAACCACATTTTTGTTTTAAGCATTTTGAAATGCTTAAGGAGGTTCTGTTTAGCATCTTTGGGGTTGTGTATTTGTTTATTTAGCATTTCTAAGGATTAAAAGGAAGAAGTGGTTGATGTAATTGCCCTATAAAAAAATCAGTTATAAATGCAGATGAACACTTAAGCTGTTCAGTGTTTCTGCGTGTAGGCAGTATTCCTTACGGGAAGGAACTACACAGAATCTATAGCAGATGCTATGACAGTGGCCACAAGGCTGCAAACATTAAGCAAAATTCTGCTTCTTTTCCTTAATGTAGGCTAGTAAAACTTGTGGGTTCCCAAGAATTTTTTCTAGTCACAACTTTAAGTACATATGAGATTTGCTGAGATATGTCCTTTAAAACTAAGAAAGATGAGCAGATATTCTTGGGACTGTACAAAAGAGTGGTTTACACTTGAAGAGTTGTGATACTTTTTAAAAACTAGCTGCTGTGCTAGTGTTGACTCAGAAGTCTTTCCAAATTTTGCATGGATTTGAAGCATCTGTGTTTATTTCCATGCATTTTCAAATGGGACGAAATCTGTAGTAGAACTGGCTGGTACAAACGGGCGTGCTGATGTCGTCATTCCGACTTTGAGCCGGAATTTTCCGCAGTTGCTTTTGATCCGGCTCAGGAACTGAGGGACAGGCGATGTATTTGCGCTGCTCGTGCTCCCTCTACTGTTTTATTTGGAAGCACGGAACGGGAGAGGGTATCTGGCTAACGTACTCGGCTGCGTGAAAAGCAAACTTGATGGACGATTAGACTGACGGTCAAAAAGACTAAGCTGAAAACTGAACCTGTTAGCTGTGATCTTAGCTCATCTTCCTCACTCCATTATTTGTAATGTAGTCTTTACACGACAGACAGTCTTCAAAAGGGCTGTAGTCTGATGAGACAAGTAACTGTTATTTAGCAAACTTCTGAGTTATGGAAATTAAAAGCCATCTAAGAAACGCGGTGGTACTCAGGAAAGAGAAAGTGAAGTTTTAAAATTAATCAACATCAGTTGTAGAGCCCCCACTATTCTCAGTCTTTGACAGTTTTGCGACTTTACTGATAAGTTTACAATGAACGTAAGGGATAAAAGTCGTATTTAATGAAAACCAAATCCTGTATTACAGGAAGTTCATACGGTGTTTGAATATTAAAAATACAGTTTAAGAAATAAAATGATGAAATAAAATTATGAAAGTACACAAACCGATAAGCACTTGCATGTGTAATTCTCCTGTATAAAATTAAATAGTGGAGACATAGCACATATTCTGAATCTCTCAGAGCTTCTGTTGAGCCACAAGATGAACGTTACATGCATCAAGAAAGGGGTACAAAAGGGGTGAGAGACTGCAATGAGTGGACACCCTTGGTCTTGTTGAAAAGGAAATACTGTAAGGAAAGTAAGTTTCAGTTTCATTAAATACATCAAACTGCTGGAAGGCGGATTGAGAAAACTTCTAGTACTGCCCAGAAAACAAAAAGATGCTTATTTTCTGACTAGAAACAAACATGTAATAATTTTATGAAATTGTTCGTATCGCTTCATAAAATTGATTCTAATCAATCATCAAACTAAAAGCTAGTATTAAGCAGTAACCATGTAATAATAGCATGACTTATTTCTACAGTCAGAAAAAAGATTTAGGGTAATATTTAACCAAAATTATTATAAAATATTTGAGAAAATTTTGTAAACAAAATGAAAATTTGTGAAGACACTATTCAAAAATACTGGATGTTTCATTTCTTTCAGAATGCAGTACTCTACAGAATGTGATAAAGGGTCTAACACAAACCATCGAAAACCAGTGTAATGTGAAAGGTAAAGGCAAAAAATATTATTTTATATAAATGCTGTACTGTCATTTTGAATGAGCAGGGATTTAATTTTTTCATTTATATTTACTGATCTTTTTCAGACAAACTTACTGGCAGGCAAAGAGAAACAAAAAAAAAATTATCTAAAATCAATCGTGCAGTAATAAATGTCTACTGCCATTTTCTTACTTAGAAACTGCCTCAGGAGGGTTATTTTAATCAATAGTTGGGCTTTAAATTCATTTTAGTATAACACAGGCAATTTTACAAAAGGTGAGAAAGTATCATTCAGCTGTTGACTATTCAAGTGTTTATGCACAGTTTTTATCACTTTGTTAAACCAAAGTGTCTTAATCCTTAGTATACAGTGCTGTTATCCACATATACTTGATAACTAACCTTTTTTACTTGAAAATAAAGTATATAAATATTTGCTATATCTTTGTACTACAGCTCAGCAGTACACCATCATTATGCATTCAAGGCATATTAGCATATCCAATTCTAACATTGGCAGTATATGCATGTTTTTAATACTCAAACTGATATTAATAATAAAAAAAAAATCCATCTATTTTCTCTAAATTCTGTGTTTGCATACTGTTCTCTAGTTTTTGGGAAACAAGTACGTAAAAACTTTCATCTTTCAATTTGAAACTATTGTTTCAAGGCCATGATAATAACCTTTTATTTTCTGAGTCAAAGAACTTTGCATCTAGATTTTCTTGACTGTGTTATTAGAAGACTAAAGAAAGTTCTAAGTAGTAATACCAGGCAAATATTATGATTAAATTATTATTTTTCTTGTTAAAAAAATGAAGAATGACAGTATGTGGTTCTGTAATGATGCTTATGCCACAAAAAAATTTCTCAAAGTTCAGCCAAGTCAAAAAATGCAAGCAATTTCCATATTGTGCTTTCATCCTAAAGAAATTGTCAAAATGTACTTTTTAGTGTACCATATAGTTTTTGTTTATGTAGATGAAAATGATAGACTGAAGGGAACCATTCACATCTTGGAAGATAAATTAAAGACTTGTGAAGAGGTATGTCACAAATTATCGTTGTTTAGGTAGAGGAATAATATTGTATCTCTATTATGTTGCATATCTTTTTGTTTAGGGTTTGCTATTGATAGTCTTATTGTTGCTTTTCTCTCAATGATTTTCATGTGTAAAAAGAAAAGGGTTGTTCTCATGACAATATCCATGTGAGGTGTTAGGAGAACTGAGAAGTTAAAACTTCTTGGTGCTGAGGATTTTGGTTCAATCTGAGGTGCACTTGGGGTTTTTTAGCTGTATTTAGCTTTAGATTGAACTTCACCTTCACCATTCTAATCCCTTGCACTAAAATAATTTTTTGTGTGGAAATGCAGTTTTCACATTGAAGATGCCTGGTTATGCTGACAGAGAATCAGGGGTGGTCTGAATTTTGTCCAGTTTATTCAGGAATACTCCAAAGACAATAGGTCTCTATTTCTTATCTGTACCTCATAATAAATTCCATATATTATCTCTTTACTTTTTATCTATGGCACTCATTTTTGGAAAGAAGGTAAAACTAGCAGCGCTAGTCATAATCTCTGTTTTCAAAGTTCTCTGTGTGAAGAGTGCAGATCTATTGTCTGTTTAAGATCAGAAATCTCACTGCTGATTTTCTTTGCCTGTTTTTGTACTATGAGTTAAAATTAAATATTTATACCAGTAGAGCTTTTATCTTGATTGTTGGAATGAAAAATAAGAAATGCCTTCCAAAGGATATGGTAAACTATTATTGAACCCATTAAACACATGTGAGCATGGTGGGACCTCCTGGTGTCATTCTGAAGGTGCAGACTATGTCTCCATATACTCATCCCCAGTCAATGATCACCTTTGTGAGTGCCCTCAGGTATTGCCCTGGTGAGTAGCAACCTTGTCAGAAGGCTGCAACCAGAACTTCGGAGTGAGCGCCTCGACAGTGGCTGCTAGTGATAATTCTGGAGTAGTTATTGGAGTAAATTTATAACTGTCATCTTCAAACTTTGAGTGTCAGTGCATCGCTATTGCTGGTATCACTGATGTGTCTACTGCTGCCAACATGAAGTTCTGGAATCCTTCGTTTAAGCAAAACTAAAAAAACTCACACTTGAATCATGCACTCCTTGATCAAAAGTACACAAAGGTGAAACTGTAGTCCCTTAACTAACTGCATCATTTTTCAGATCCTGTTCTCAGGAAAGTAATATTACCTCTCCATTTGCCTATCCTCCTAAGGACTACAGTTTCTAATTTTATATTAACAGATAGCTTTAATACAATGAAATCTGCTGATTTTCATCTGTGGACTTCAGCCAGACAGTGTAAGAAGTAATTGGGAATTTAAATTTACAAGATTGAGAATAAAACAAGTACTGAATTATAGAGTGCTGTATATTTTTACATGATGGTTGTGCTTTGCAGAAGGTTAGGAGCATAAAAACTGCAAGATCTTAATAAAATATTTTACATTCACAGGAGTATAAAGATCAAATTGAGAAACTCATGATAGAAATTAAAAACAAAGAGGAAGACCACAAATTAGAAATAACACAGTTGAATTGTGATATAAGGAAAAAATGTAAGTTCTCTGAAGACTGAACACTTTAGCAATGGATAAAACATGCTGTCATCTATAGATGCTACATTTTTTCTAGGATAAATATCAGTTCCACTTCTTAGCAGAAACATGTGGACACTAGAAGTGGGCAGTGTTTAATGGAATTTTATCTTTGCTGAAGAGAGCAGAAAGTGGTAATGAAGCAATAGTACAGCAACACAGGATGAGCAGAAATTCCCAAATAGTTAGAACAAATGCTGGGAATGTGGGCCTAAAAATCTGAAGGAATGAAATTTTAGGTTAAGTGGCAGCTGGAACTTTGCTTTGAACTGTAAGTTAGACTGCTGTTAGAATGTCCTATCTGTGTTCAGCACAGAAGGACATTATTCACAAATAAATAATACTGCAATGAGGAAAAACTGACTTCTGTGTTCATTTTCTTCTTTAGAGACAAACTTAAAAAGCAGGATCTTTTTGGTCATCCATACATCTTTTTAAAAAGACACCATCTGACTGGGATAGGACAGTGTGATTTTCATATAGTTTCAGTATGGTTTTTGCTTGAATTGACTTCCAGTGAAATGATATTCAATAAAGTTTTAATATTTGGAAAACTATGTTAATTTTTCATCTAAACGTCTTCTATAATCATATTATTTGGTGTTACTCTGTTGCTAGTTGAAGTAAAAGAAATGGAGTATAGAGAACAGAGAGAGAAAAAAGAACTGGAAATATTAGAGCTAACTAGGCAGCTGAAAATTCAAAATGAAGAGAAGCAGAATGAAATAATTAAACTGCAGATAGAGGTATGCATTACAAAACTGACTTAAAGATGAACTGGGCATTGGGTAGAAAAAACTATGTAGTGAAAAAAATGTTGATTAGTACTTAACAAAGTAATATGATGGAATATAGAAAACTTCATTATTTATTGTCTTTACGAGGATCAGTGGCAGGTGCTTCCTTCTACAATGGTAACTCATTCCTGCTCAGGAGTCAAGATCCACATATGGTATAGGGAGACTGAAAGTTGCTCTGTTCATGTTCCAAATTAAATTACTTAGAAAATTTTTAGATTTTGAGATACTAAAAAATTCAACAATGTTTTCTGCTTAACTTTTTTGTTTTTAATTTCTGAATGGTGAGAATATACACGTTTTAAAATAAAATTCCAATGAAAATTTCTAATCCTGCAGAGATTTAAGACAGAGCATTCAACATGTATTTCATTGCTCATGTTTTAAACTGCTCTCATAACAGAAAGAATTAAGGAAATACTTCAAATCGTTCACACATCAAAAAAGAAATAAGATGTGAGTGTTCAGGCTGAGCTATCTTTGGAACATAAGAAAAGAATGATGGTTTTGGAGGTCTTTAGCACTCTCTGTATTTTCTCCTGCTGTAGATATGTTGCTGGGATTCCTTCAATTTTATTCTTTTTTCAGGAGTGTCTTTTTTTTTATACACATGGTTTTAGTTTATCATATTTCTACTACTTTTCCAAAACTTTGTGGCTTTTTTTGAAGAAACATAGCTTGTAGCTGCATTCTTTTTAAAATAAGCATAAGTAGCTTTGTTTTCCTAGAATTAGTAGAAAGGCTTACTGCTACTAATTCTCAGGTAAAAAAATGCAACTAATAAAAAGTGAAAATGACACTTGGCATACTTAGAACAGCTTTTTACCTTTTTTTCCTGTTCATTCTTACCGTTTTGTCTTTGCCTGATCCTTTCAGTTCAACGCTAAATTGGCAAGAGCTCAGGATAAAACCACCAAGTCCTTTTCGGATGCTTCAGTCTTGCCACAAAGTATCTATCGAAGGGTAGGTGCTTTTATGTAGCACACAGATACTGTTTCAGGGTGTTTGAAGCACCAATTCCCTGGGGTTTCTCTGTTCTCTCCCACACACCCCTCCCGCGTATACAGGACTGGATTCACAAAATTGTTAATTAAGATGGAGAAGGCTTTTAAGATCATCAGCTCCAACTGTCATGGCTCTTGACATATGGGTACTGCTGAGGGCAAGCAACAACAAAAAGCCACACGTGAGGTGGTCTTACTACAGTATTGTTAATCAGGAAACTTAAACTAGAGTTGCCATCAGTGACACTGATATAAACTCTGCATATGCTGCTTTTTTTGGTTGGCTTTTTTGTTTGTTTGTTTCGGGGGTGTTTTTTGGTTTGGTTTTTCTTTTTGTAGGCTCACAAGACTTTGGGATGGCAGAAAAAGAGGATTCTGGGGAAATAGTTTTGGTAATTTTGTGATGTAAAATACCAAGGAAAATATTTTTATTAGAATATATCTTATACGCAGTAGCAAAATTTATCAGTATGTAATTTTATGTGATGTTTAAGAATGAAGCCTTTGCCTGCACTTTTACAGAAACTGCAGCATCTCCAGGAAGAGAAAAACAAGGAAATTGAAATTCTCCGAAACACCATAAGAGACTTGGAGCAACGTCTTAATAAAGGCCAAGACCTGCCCTTAAAACGGAGGCGATTCTGAGTAAATGACGTGAAGTATTTCAGTGTTTCAAACTGTGCATCTCAAAATAAAAACAAGATGTGAAGAAAGTATGTTTTATTGAAAACACTCCTGTCAAATATTCCGAAGGCATGTATTCTGTGTACATTCAGAACTACTCTCTTGCTAATCAGCATTCACAATAAAAAGATTCAGGTTTTGTAGGAGTAGTAATTTCCCTATTAAACCATCATTAATTATGGTGTATGCTTTCATAGCAGGTTTCTTTTCATGAATATTCTTTTCTTCATCCAGGAATCCTTCAAACTGGATTTACTTCCATTCAGTTAATCAAACATTAGAAATGCTAGGCTACAAACAGAGAAGTTATACAAGTTTAAGTGGTATATTTTGTTACTAACTGATACAGATTTATCAAATTCAGCACTGTTATAAACAAAGATCAACAGTACACCAAGATTAAACTTATTTCATCCCACCCTCTTTTTGATTCCGCCTGTGAGTTGTTAACACTACTTCTTGCTTATTGATTCAGTAGGATTTTACAGGCAGTAGCAGTATGTGTTAATGGACCCTCTTACTGTATCTAAGAGCCACAAAAGTTAAGCACATCTATCTGTTACTTGAAAATAAAGCAGTTACTGTCTGTATATTACATTTTTGTTGTGGAATTATTTTGTCACATTGCTTAGGAGTAAGTTTTGCTTGTACATGATTTGTATCCCCAGGTTAGAAAAAAACCAAAAAGCTCAACTTCTGAATATATCACCTTAATAAAAAATGATTAAAATATCTGTCTTGGTTATCTTCTGTTCTTGATTGCAAAACATCAGACAGGAGCCCCTAGGTCATAGTTTATGCTCCTGTCCTCACAAATGCAAGCAGAATATTAGAAGAGAAACAAGAAAGACAAATTAATCAAGAAAGCAGACACCTTCCCAGTGGAACTGAAAAACAAACTAGGGGTCAACCAAATTCCTTTAAATCATGAAGCTTTTCTCTGATGGAATTTGACAGATATTCTATTATTCTAAGAGCACTGCTCTAAAATTACACTTTGCAATATTTTAAATCCCCATACCTGTCTGTATAATTTTGAATCTGGGGCAATGAAAACACTTAATTTGTTCATTTTTCTGCTCAAATAAGAACTAAGTTAGTGGGACTCCCTTGTTTCTGGAAGGTGCTTAGTTTGTTTTTCAGGATCAGTTTCTCGCTTTTTCCTGTCACTGTCAGGTGTCACTAGTTTCACTTGCTCCTGCTGGTGAATGTCAGGCAGCAGAGAGCAGACGTCACTGTCAAGACTCAGTGATGTCTTCTGCTGCCAGTTGCCCATGTCACCTGCAAGAATTTGGTAGTGTACCACGACACTGTCAAGTGACAGAATTCCCTAGCTCTTCAAACAAAAGGTGTCGACAATGACAGGATCAGCTACTAGAGGCTGAGCCTGATCCTGTCTCCCAATTTCAAGTTAACTGGTTTTTGCAGCTGTTTTTCCCTTTCTTTCGTAGTTTTCTATCTTGTGCAATTTCCACAATTTCTCCTGGAGGGGCAGTGTCTACGTGCTCCTGACTACCTATCTGATCATGTCTGTGACGGCCAAAAAGCCTGTGACGCCAGCCGCTGTGAGGATGATGTCTCTCAGTTTGAGAAGCAGCCTGGTGGTCCTCGTGTTCGGGATCACGACTGCCCACGTGATGGTGGTGGTGGTGGTGGCGATGGTGGTGTCCATGTCTGTGCAGGCTGGGATGGGAATGCTGACCTGTTGGCTTGGGTTCTATCTCTGACAGCTCTTCACCTGCTTTTTTAGTGATGTTTTCACAGACACCATCAATATCAGGTTCCTGCAAAACAGACACTGGCATTAAATACAGGGCACTGTATTCAATTAAACTAGCTGTAAAATAACTAACATTTTTGCAGAGCATGAAAGGCACTTTTAAATTATTTGTTCTATTCTGTTGAAGAATGTATGAGCATATCAAAAATAGCCTTCTGTTGTCACATTACTGTCAACTAGACAGTGCTTTTTAGCAATTAAAATTTCAGAAATTGCCAATAACAAGTATTCTTATCCTAGATCCCACATCTGACCTGTATGTGGTCTACATTTAGCCAGAACACTGCACAATGGGATCAAAAATTATTATTCTCATTGAACTTCTATGATTATGTATTTACATTTCATTATAATCCTTAAAAGCATTTCTGATCTTGAATGATGCATTAGAAAAAAGCTTCTTTTACAGCAGTAACAATAGTTTGTCTTGTACTGTATCACCTTTTTTAAAATAACTCTTGTAAACTGTGTTCAGATGCAAACTACACTGAATAGTAATGCAAACCAGCTTGAGTTTAATTCCCAGGTTTTAAAAAAATACTGGTTTTTATGTACTTACCCATCCTACAGAACTAGAGTATTTAACTGCTCACTACCTCTATATAGCTCTACAAATTGAATTACCCTCCAAGACTGAATTTACATTTCTGACAGTTAGTTGCATTTCTATCGAGGGCAGGAATTCAGATAATCAGTCAGTCTATTAGAAATCAAATCTAATTCACTTAGAAAAATGTTTAGAAGCTATCTGCTGAGATACATGAAATGCGTAAATTTGAAATCTTTTTGGATTAATCACTGAAATAATTTTTTAAATACCAATCATATCCAGTTTTCTTTTCTACCATAGACAGAATGAGACAAAAATATACCATGTAGGAGCAGTTTCCACACTTGTTCTCGCAGTATGCAATCTTAATAGATTCTTCCACATACTGAAAATGCAGGAAGGAGTAGGGCAGACCGAGATGGTACACTAGACGGCCGCATCTAAGGAGAGAAATACAAATACCTACAATTAAACCTCTCCTCTTATGATACCTCATTTTACTTGCACCAATCCACCAACACTGTACCAGTTCCATGGGGAGTGTTTCTGTTCCAGTTCACAGCCAAATCCAGTGTCTTCCATACAAATTCTTGCCTGCTCACCTGCACTGGCCAGTATGTGAAGCATGATTTTCAGCTGATGTGGTAACTGCACTGCTTCTCCCTTAGTGGCACTTAAGGCTGGCAGAGTGCAACTGCAACTCACTGCAGACCCATTGGGATAATGAGATGGGTTGTTTGCATAGTGATTGCTGCATCCTTACCACGTGTTTCTGTGAAACCTAAGGTATTTTGACTGGGATGGGCACTGTGGTGCAGTTAATCAGCAAATCAGCATTACTGATTTATTGTGCATGGGGGGATTGTTATGGTGCCTGCTTGCCCCATGTCTGCACTTGAGTGTTCTGATACACACTTAACTACACAACTGATCTGCTCAAAGGAGCTGGAGTAAATGCAGAACCTGTACACAATGGCAGTTCAGTGCCAACACACAGTCCCCTGGCCTTAGCTCCCCGCTGTGGACTGCACGTTTAGAACCAGCAGCAGACAAAGCTTTCATGCCTAAGGCACAATAACAACACAGACTCCTAGAACCATAATGGATCATGGCCATTAAACCAGTTCATCATGTACACATGTCCTGTGCATCGACAGCACAGAACTGGTCAACCTTCCAAATGCTCCCAGACAGAATACAGCCTTGCTCTGTTTGCCTGTTGTATGACACCAGCCTTCCTTACTTGGGCATACTTGCTGCTGTAACATACAAGATCATTCATTCCAGTGTTAGTTTCATCCCACAAACTTTGTCTAATTTAAATTCATCACATTACAGAAAAAGAATAACTTTCTAACTCTTCATTAAGCTTATTTATGGTTTAGTATGAGCTTAGAATGTTCCTAACAGTAATATAAAGTAACAAGGATAGACATGTTTGAAGTGCAGGATTTTTCAAGTAGTAATAGTAGTAGTAACTATTAGAGTCACTACCATCACGTCAAAATTGAAAAACTGGGATTTTAATTACCTACTGGAGCTTCCAAAATATACCTGGGGCAAAGTCTTATATTGAAAAGCAATTTTCTTCTGAAGTTTTAAATTTGACCGGAAGACTAATTTTCCTTATTTCCTTATGTCTATATGTCATTGTCAACAACTCTCATCAAAAAGTTTCCATGAAATAAAAGATAAAACTTTGACATGCATGAATGTAATAAAGTTATCTGAAAATAAAAACACTTTAAAACCATGAATATGTTACCAAATTTTACACTCATTTAATGATCATCTAAATCCATGTTAATTATAAAGAAAAAAAAATATTCCAAAATTACTTATGCAAAAGCAAACTTTGCTTTCGTAGCTTTGTTTTTCCAGTAAATACTAGCACTATAGTGCTAGTTCAACTTAAAAGCTGAGCATGATGTCTTTGTTATTTGCACATCAATGAAATAATACAGAGATTTACAAATCATTACTCAAAATACATGTGAATGTTTTCCCATGTTTGTCTGTAAGCACACACCTGTCATAGATGAGAAAGTCATCCTTGTTTCCATTTAAAGTAGTCCAGACATCCTCTTGCTGCTCATCTTGCTGGTAGACAGTAATGTAGTCTGAAACACGTTCTTTAAGTAGGTGAAATTCCCTCTGGGATTGAGGTCCCTGATGGTTGACAACCACATACGAGATGTTGACCAATCCTTCATTCTCTAACTTTACCCGCAGGTCCTCCAAACTAATGGGAGTGTAAAGAAGCAAGACCATAAACCATTAGAGAATCATGAAATTTGACAGATTTGACCTAAGAGTTAATATGCTCCATCTTGCTGTTATTACAGATGTATGATGTGGAGTTTCTTCCTTTTCATTTGTATCTTTCCTATGGAATTGCTCTAGAAAACTATTTTTCAGTTACAGGAAATAGTTTAGAATGTGGAAGATTCTTTTAATTTTTTTTCTAAAATGTAAGAACCAAAACCAATGACCTTGAAAGCCAAACACAAAGCCCACTTTTAACTTTGACAGAGGCACATATTTACCACTATGTTTTTAAGTCCAATTCTTAATAAACTTGCAAAGCTTATTATGATATGTAAGTCATGCAGCCTAGAGAGGAAAACTAAGATGTGCTCACTGTGACTAAAATCCAAATCTAAAACTGGTACTATGAACTTTTAAACCAAAATAATTTTGCAATCCCTAAATGAATCAAAAATAAAACCTTTATTCAATTCCTATTTGGGTCAGCTTAAAATGATTTTATTACTATTGGTACTGTCATGCTAGCTATTTATTTGCAAGGATTAAGTTCTAGAAAATAGAGCATCACTGTCCCAGGTCTTGGATGAAAACCTAACACTAATGATTTCCTTGAATGCTTCATCAATTTTTTGAAAGGACAGTATTTACCTTAACTTCTGGAATTTTTAAATATATGTAGGATCTCTGGACACAGGCTGAAAGGCCACATTAAAAGCACAAGTTTTGATTAATTTTTCCCCCACAGATCTTACATAAGAAATCAGTGATTACACATCTCTCTATTTAAGATGATCTAACCATGTTAAAGAATCGTGATGTTCCTTGGCTTCACTATTCTTGCTACATTAATCGTCTGTTGCTGTTTCTGTTGGTTCTGTTGCTGTTCTTGTGGTTTGGGTTTCATTAATGTCATTAAAGTTGATCATACTATTATGTTGTAAACGTAATTTGGAGAAGATGATCTGTCAGTCAGGAATAGGTCAAGAGATAAAGAATCTTACCCACTGGCACAGAACCCTTCTGCTGATAGTGAGCCTGGTCACTGGGTCACACATGCCAGCTGTGATGGTGGCATTTGGGGCAGCTAGAGTTGATGGAGTGCATCTGTGTCAGGGCACACATAGTATTCTCAGCTGGAGAGCAAAAACTGGGATGAGACACACTTACCTGGAAGCCTGCCGCAGGCACAATGATCAGCTAGCCTGGAGGAGAGCCACCACTGTCACCGAGCCTCTGGAGTTCCACATTGGGTCCTCCTCCCCAATACGCCATTCTGGGGGCTCCTGGCAGTTCTGGATCTCTGTCCCTCCTCCTGGGAGGACACAGAGGGCCAGAACTAGCCCCACACCTGCCCACATGGCTGGGCTTTACCTGAGAAGAGAGAAAATAAACAAAGTAAGGCCAATGCCTAGACAAAATTCAGACTGAAATTCCCGTAAGAAAACACAGCAGCATATCGACTCCATTCAGTGTAAAAAGAAATAAAAGAAAACAAAAAAAAAGGCCAAAAAATCGCAAATCCCTGTAAGAATAAATTTGAGTACTTTGTTTACTGCTCAATTTCTTTAGCTATCCAGGGGAGTTCCTCTATAATAGAGGTAGGTGGTTTTTTTCTTTGTACTACTTGAAGGTTTTTGGGGTTTTTTTTGTTATTGTGTTTGAACAGCTACAAAGTAAACAATCAGAATAGCTGGAAATTTTTTTAGCATTACTAATCAGACTAAGTTTTGGGGTTTTTTTTCTCTTTGTAATTTCTTTTTGACCATTTTTAACACTTCCATGACTTTAAAGTGGCTTTTTTCTTGTGTTTTGAAATCAACTGTGGTAAGCCTATTTATGTCAGGAAGAATCTAGATCAGTTCACTCCAGATTCCAAAGTAATTCCACTATCTTAAAAGTACATGCACCAATAGTGGATTTCAGTACCCAGCAAGTGTTACAGAACATAGCAGAAAATAATGAAAAAGACTTAAAAATTTTTGCAAGTCAGTCTGGAGTATCTGGATCCCAATGAAAAAAAATCTATGAAGAAGTCAGGCACTAGAAAAATTTTACAAAAACCAGAAATGAAAACTGAATTTCATTCAGGATTCCTCAGATCTTACAAAATCTCATATCCATTCTTAGTCCAGTTACTGTTTATGACAAAGCATACAAGAAATTCCATAGTTACCTTTTCATTTTATTCCATTAACATCTCAATTTTGCCTTAAACACCCATTATCAAGAAATATTTAAAATTATAAATGTAAAAAATTATAAAGCTGCTCCCCAACATGTCCTAGGTTGTGGGATTATATAACTTCACCACTTACATCAAAGTCTGACAGTGACCACATAATAGTTTGGAAATAATAAATTCTGATTTATGACAGTTAATATATGTTTCAGCCACCTTGTCATAGCCTAAAAGATTAATAATAATTGACCTTTTAAAACAAGAGTCATTTGTTGCTGCATTCGTGAAAGCCAGCTGTCCCTGACATTTCTTTCCTACATTCTAGGTAAAGTACTATGAAGACTAAACTGTGGTCCAGTATATACCAACACAGCCTTTTTCCACTCTTTCCTGCCTTTATATCCATTATAAACACATGATACTCTCATGACATTCTGATCTCCTTCCTTGCCTTTACAGCAGCCTTCTGCAGCACTGGCGTGCAGCACCCCGCAACAGCTGTCCACCCTGCGAGTTGCAGGAGAGCCTGCCTCGTACTTCTCTTCATATTTCAACTTTCCACTTAGTTTCCAATGGAAATTTCCACAGTCAGACTTTTCAGCCAAAGAAACAAGCAAACACTCTGCCAAATCTTAAGTCATGAAGCTCTTTCACAGCAAACCCAGCACACTTACCCTGTCCTCCTCCTCCCCCTTCTTGGCAGCTGCACCTGGCTCTGCCACAGAAGGAAACAGTGTGGGGAAAAGGGCTGTGGTATTTATATGGCTCTTGTTTATCTCACTTTGCAGATACGGTTCAAAGTTCAGGGAACTTTTTCTGAATGTCCCTGCAAGCAAACGAAACCTCTTGAGCAAAACTACCCAAAATATTTCTCCATTAACTAATCCCGAGTGGAAACCGTTTATTGTGCATAATAGCAAAGTATTTTTACTGTCATGACTTCAAATATCTTTTTATGCAGTTTATCAGTCACCCCAGTCAGCTGGTGGTAGTGGTACAGTCAGAGGAGGGGGATGGGCCAAGGAATCATTATTTTCTGAACACAGTGGTAACCACAGTGAGGGGGGGAAGGTACTTCCCTATTTACAAAAACGCTGAGCTAGCAGGTTTTGTCTCATATGCTTTATCTGATATTTGCCTTAGAGAATGTTGTGCTCTGTCTGAGGGCATGTGCATACTGAGCTCCTTTGGCCCAGCTGCTCTTGATTATATCACTCTGCTTTCAAAGTTTTCTCGGGAGAACCTTCCAGTTCTTCAACTTTTTTGAAAGTTAATGCCCAGAGCTTCAGCCATTTAAATCAATGTAGCTACATGAAAGTCATGAAGCTCTAGCTGCTGGCAGTAGGTACCTGAGCCTCTGTATTTCACTGTTAGGTTTTCTTAACCCCAGGATCACGGATGTATCTGTGGACATCCATGTTAAACTGTTTGCCTGCTTTCTTTCCTTGGTGAGAGAATTGTTTATCCATGCATTTTACTTCAACAGCAGCTTGCTTTGCTTTGATTTCCTTCAATGTACATGTTACATGTGTATGGGGAAATAAATGTTTAAAAAGTTTTAAAATATGAGGGTGTGCCCTCATATTTCAAGGTGGTGAGATTGATACTGCTTAGATCTATGGCCTGAGGCCATCTTCTGCACAGATAAGCATTTTGCTTTAGGCTGGATTCAGGAAAGGGAACTGCTGACCTTGGGGATTTATGCTGTAGAAGTCCTATGCACTTCTTTTCCACTAGTCAGTGGTCTTGGAAGACACAATGCAGAAAACAGACAGAGTTCATACTAGACCTGAAGTTTTTTTAAGAAGTGGAGTGTGCTCATATTCCTTATAATGTTAGGGGAAACACATCTTATATTCTTTGCTGGCTTGGTACCAAACTCTCCTATCTGCAATAGCGGCCTTTACTGTTCCGATTGATCGACAATTTGCTCACCGCCTGTTTCAGTTGTTGGGGTTGATTCTCAATACTGATAAAATCCTGTAAGTTTGGCTGGAAGTATTTGGTGTGCACCACATCCACCAATTCTTGCATGAGCACAGAGGCAGCCAACAAAAATTAAGCACATACAGCTCTATTAATAGGGCTAATAAAAGTAATGCAGCTCACTGGTGACTGCTGCTCTCTGAAATTGTTCTTTTGCCAATTATAGCAACACAGGTGGAGACACTCTCAAAGGAAGAGCAACACTCCATCTTCATTTCCTTTTCCTTTTCTTTGTAGAGAGGATGTGGACAAGGTTTGATTAACAAGTGCTGAACCTATAAACTATATGTAATACCACTGAGTGCTGCTGAGACATGCAGTGCACAAGTACTGAAGAACTCAGCTCAGACAGAGTAAATTGAGCTGAAGTAGCTATCATATAAAACAAGTTCCTTGCTGTGGAAAGCACACACTGAGGATGGAAATGGACAGTGGTGACTATGGAGAAGTTAGTATTTCCTCCCATACAGTAAGCAGAGACACCTGCAGACCCTCAGTTGCCTTACTGAGAGATAAGAAGCACTGTAACAACAAATACTATAGGTAGTATTATTAATTATTATATTTATTTTAACCCTTAGCATCTTAAGATGATTTCAACTATGTTCACAGTGATAAGCCATAAGCATCTTCCTTTTTAACATTCACCCTACCTAAGATCATTGTTATGCCTTAATATTTATGGAGGAAAAAAGTTCCTCTGTCTTAAAGCAAGGAAGGTAGGGAATATTATAATATGGTTGTGGGTTAAGATAGATCTAATTAATTTGGTTTAGAAATATATAAACTAAATATGCTTAAACTTCAATCTGAAGCATTATTGTTTCAGAGTGGAAAAAAAAAGAATCCACTTCCACAGGATTTTTTTATGAACATGGATAAAGCTGTTAATAATTGTCAAATTAACAGTCTAAGAATCTGACTGTTCCATTTCTGTACATAAATCCCCTTTCTGTTCATAGGCTTCTGTAGCCCTTTGTTTATAGCTTGTAAAGAAACAATCACCTTAAATATTAATTTTTGTTTTCCACTGAAAATATTTTCTTAGTTATTGAGTCTGGTCCAATCTCACGGCAGGAGGCAAGTTATGAACTCTAATTTGGACAAGCCCTCAGTTTCAAACAATAATTTTTTTAATGATCATCTTGTTTCTGTTCACTTTCTTTCTTCTTTGGGGGAGGATAATAGCTCTGGTAGAAGTAACAGCATCCTTTCTTATTGAACATAAGCTTTTCTGACATGTTCCAAACTTTTCAAAGCATGACAGCATAGAAATATCATTTGTTGTTGCTGTTATCTAGATTAGTAATATAACTTTTTCTTGGAGAAAGAAAAAAAATCAAAAATATATTCAAAACCCCAACACAATGCCACAATCCCAAAGGACAAGGAGTCATGGCTGCCAGAAATTAATTCTGGTAACACCTGCTGAGGAGATTTGTAATTTGCAAATAACATGAGGATGGGGGCAGAACACAGATTCAGCATGAACCCTATTGTGAGGCCTTAGGACTTCAGTGCCTGTTTTGCCCTTGTGACTGAAGGATGTCATAAACACAGAATTCAAAGTCCACTTGCAAATCTTAATTCTCTACTGGCTCTTCTCTGTCTTCTCTGACACTGTGTCAACTCAGGGTAGTTACTCATACTTTATAGTGGAAAATATTGCAACAGCCGTAGGCTGTTAGAGTTACTTAATGCTTCTATAAAGAAATTTCCATTAGTTTATGAGGCCTTAAACTTGAATAAATGCTGTGGAAAAAAAATAAATGGGTCGCTTAAGTGAAGAGCAAAAAGATACACTGAAGTAAAGTAAATTGCAGCATAAGGTTACTAAATGCTTACTTCTCAGAATTCAAAGGAAGGAGCTAAAACTAACATCCTCTGATGCAGGCCTAAAGATTTTTTCAGTGAACAAAGAAATAGCTGATACATGCAATTGTCCACTTATAAACAAAATGTGACTTAAAGGAGCCCTGATCTAGTTGCAAAATGATTGGGTTTTTTGCTTGGAAATTCCATTACAATAATGAAGTACCTTTCTCTGCTTGAACCTATGTGTAGCACACTGTAATTAGGAAGGGAAATATTTTCAGATATGTCCTCAGACCCAATCACAACACAGATTACAAATGCAATCAGACCCTAGTTGCTGAACACCTACATCTATTCTGAATTCCTTACAGGCTTTGTTTACTTTCTGCATTTATCCTGCAATAATTCTATCAGTCCACAAATTCTCCAAGTCACTGCAGTGAGCTTAAAACCAGTTCTCTTATCATTTGAAGGAAGAAAAAATTTGCTGATGATACCCAAGAGGTGGTTCAGAAGATCACAGCTGTAGGAAATCTTCCACATTTTTGTATTTTTACTGGTGTATTAAGTAATACTTGTCTGTGTCCATAGAGGAAAATATAATAATACTGTGATCCATAGAGGAAAACTGAAAATTCCTTCAGTTTGGTGTGACTCTGCTGAGGCTCTTAGTGCTTGGCATAGTAAACACAGAAGCAAATGTAGTCATGCAGTGCCCAAAGCAGGGTATCTGTACAGATCTCGTGTCCCACACAATGAGCCTCCTTCTATGGGAATGATTGAGCTGCACCAGGAATTCAGCAGGCAGCTTTAGGCTCTCCAATGCAGTTCACTGTTTTTATAAATATAAAATGGTAATGGATCTAGACCAATGAACACACAGAAATATAATCAAGCCTCTCTATTACACTGCATTCAGACATTTCTCTTTACATTAAAAGATCAGGCCTCCCAGAGAGTGTAACTAATCAAAACCTCAGAAGTATCATCAGCAATACACAAAATTCCTATTAAACTCTTCATACACAATAAACCTCCTTAGGAGATGTGGTGGAAAATGATTCATCAGCTAAATTCGCAGTTGTTCATTCTAGGTGACTATATTTAAACGCTTCTCACCAGAAATACCTGTACAAGCAAGCTGTTGTTAATGATTTACAGCAGGTTATGCAGGCACAGTTCACTGCACTGAACCCTATCTGCAGAATGGAGGTGAAGACAGCCCAGTACACAGGATTCAGTGACCATATACAGTGAACCTGACGAGAAGTTCAAGTCTGTCCTTTGCTTATCTGTTGTGAAATACATTAAAACTAAAGTGAAAGCTGGTCCCAGCTAATGAATAAGAGATGTTTGTGCATAAAAAAACTCTCTTTCAAGAACTTTTGAACTGTGATAAAAAAATGGATTATGTGTTTTTGGTTAAATTTCTTTTTGCGACTCTGTGCTGCTCTCTTTTCCTGATAATGCAGAAGTGGCTGTGAACATTATGGTCTGCAAGAGACGTTAGGAGCGTTTATGGGCAGATTCAGATGATCAAAGTGTAAGATAGAGGTTGTCTTACACGGAATGGAGTCTGACAAACTGAAATACTGATGGCTTCAAATCCATGATATTGACAGTAGATTGCTGATGATCCTTCTTTTCAAGTAGCAGGGTCAGAGGAGGCCACAAAGATACTGAGCAGGCTGGAGCACCTCAGCAGCAAAGACAGGCTGAAAGAGTTGGGGTGAAGAAGAGAAGGCTCAGGGACACCTTACTGAGGTCTTTCAGTACCTAAAGGGGGCTGAAAAAAGAGAGAAGGGGACTTTTTACATAGGTGGGTAGTGACAAGGCAAGGGGCAATGGTTTTAAACTGAAAGAGGGAAGGTTTAAATTAGATGGTAGCCTGACTTAATGAAAGTGGGCTAGATGATCTTTATGGTCCCTTCCAACCCAAACCCTTCCATGATTCTGTGACTCTATTATATACCCTTTTAGTGCATTTAGCACTTCCAGAAGATTTCCAAGCTTTTCCTATGTCATGAAAAGTTTGCATTTTTGCTGAAAATTACAATTATTAACTAATGTAAAGTTATTTTTATGTATTTTGGATGAAATATGTAAAACAAAAGTCCTCAATCTTCTGAT